ACCTTGGGTGAGGCGAAGTACCTTGAGTTACATCACTTTTCGGACGCTTCGCAGCACGCTTACGGAGTCGTGTCCTACCTTCGACTTGAGAACACTTTGGGTCAAATTCACTGTTCGTTTTTGTTCGCCAAGTCACGCCTAGCGCCCTTGAAAACTGTCTCCATTCCTCGACTGGAACTGTCGGCAGCAGCCTTGGCGGTGAAGTTAAATCGGATGATTCAAGACGAGTTAGATTTGGAAATTGAAAGAACGGTTTTCTGGTCAGATTCAACTGCAGTTCTACAATACATCGCGAACACCACCAGAAGATTTCACACCTTCGTTGCCAATCGTTTAGCTATTATCCATGACGGTTCGACTCCTGATCAGTGGAAGTACGTTGAGACGAATTCAAATCCCGCAGATCATGCGACTCGAGGTCTGAATGCAAAGGAAACGATCAAAGCCGATCTTTGGTTCAAGAGTCCCATGTTTTTATGGCAACTTGAGGAGAACTGGCCTTTGACATATAGAACAGTTCCGGAGATTGCGGATGACGATCCAGAAGTTAAACCTGAAGTTCAATGCCATTCAATCGTAAAACAAGAAGAATTCATGAACAAAATCATTCATTGCTGTTCATCTTTGCAACAACTGAAGAAGAGTGTAGCATGGTTAATACGCTACAAGGAGTACATTGTACGTACCTATAGAGCTCGAAGCGGTAGAAATAAAGAACGGAAACCCTTGGAAACGTCAAATTTATCGGTCGAAGAACTGATGCAAGCTGAAGAGGAACTTGTGAAGTTTGGTACAGGGATATGCGTTTGAAAAGGAACTCGCGATCTTGAATTCTGAAGCGTACCGTATGTCAACCAGCCAACGCAAATTGAAATCGATTGGTCCCCTTTACAAACTAAATCCTATTTTGGAAAACGGGATTCTTCGAGTAGGTGGTCGCCTAAGAAATGCACCGATCGACGTAAACGCCAAACATCCCTCGATTCTACCGAACAGGCACCATCTAACGGACCTAATTGTGCAGCATTATCATCGTAAATTGGGACACTCCGGACGAGAACATGTTTTATCTAGTATACGGGAGCGCTACTGGATCGTCAGAGGTCGAGTTGCGGTACGAAGAGTTATTGGTACTTGTCTACAATGCGAAAGGAGAAATGCCGTTCCCCGTTCACAAATTATGGCAGACCTACCTATTGATCGTGTCCAACCTGATAAGCCACCTTTCACTTATGTCGGGGTTGATTTCTTTGGTCCACTGTTCGTGAAGCAAGGTCGTTCACGAGTAAAGCGTTATGGGTGTTTGTTTACTTGCTTGGTCATTCGAGCTATACACATTGAGATTGCGCATAGTTTGGATGTCAGTTCTTTCATTGATCAGCCTTACGTCGATTTATAGCTCGCCGCGAAAGGCCAGAGGAAATCAGAAGCGACAGAGGTACAAATTTTGTAGGAGCCGAACGAGAGCTTAAAGAATCTTTGGAGAAATGGAACAATTCCCAGTTGAACGAATTTCTCTGCTTAAAGGAAATAAAATGGAAATTCAATCCCGCTGCCGCTAGTCATATGGGTGGAGCGTGGGAAAGGCTAATACGTTCGGTAAAGAAGATTCTTAAGGCATTACTTGATGAGCAACTAGTGAATGATGAAACTCTGGCAACAACCATGGCTGAAGTTGAAGCAATCGTAAACAGCAGACCCATAACACCAAATTCAGATAGTACGTTTGACGCTGAAGCATTGACACCAAATCATCTATTGATGCTCCGTTCTAATTCAACATATCCACCTGGGGTATTTACCAAGAATGATCAGTATGTAAAACGAAGATGGCGACAAGTCCAGTACCTGGCCAACATCTTTTGGCGCCGATGGTTAAAGGAGTATTTGCCTACCTTGCAGATGAGGCAAAAATGGTGTTTTCCAGAGGCAAATGTTAAAGAGAACGACGTGGTACTGATTGTAAATGAAAATGCTCCCAGAGGACAATGGCCGTTGGCTCGAGTATAGTGCAAGTTCATCTCGGAAAAGATGGTAAAGTGAGATCAGCAGTCGTTAGATCAAGAGGAACTGATCTTACTAGACCAAATACGAAACTTTGTGTGTTGGAAAACGTTAATTTAGCACAAGTTAATAGCAATTAACGGTTTGTAGCCGTTAATTCGGAGCGAGGATGATAAGGACAATAATGACCTTATGGATTTATGTAGTTCATGCATGCATAGTAGACAATACGCATTAGGGATTAGGTTAATTGTCGTGATAGTTTTAATTTAAACTTTCAAATTTATGTAAATATAGCTTATGCCGATCTTGTATTGCTTCACTAATCCTACTGAGCATCCATGGTACTTGTGTGTCTTTTACACACGTAAAAACGCACAAGTTGTAACAAACCTGCAGCATGCGCAGACTTGTAGCAATGCTGTTCCAACAACTTGTCAACAGGATGTGTTACGTTCGCACTGCTTGTTCCCAGCTAGTTGAGAACTTGCTACAAGGTTGTTGAGCTCAACAGACTTGTTACAATTAGTTGTTCTCAACAACTTGTTATCGTCCTGCAATTCAACAATTTGTCAACAAGTTGTGAGTGACAACCTTGCAGCAAATTGATAAAACAGCAGCATTGTTACAACGTGTTAATTAACAAGCTTGCTATCTCGAATCTTCGAATGAGAGTATTGGCATTATGGCCTGTGCCATAAGGAACGCAGGCTCTGGTTCGAGATTGCTCATAGTCATAACTCAGAAAAACCAAACATTTTCGCGCGTTTTTTTTGAGAAATTTTATTTTGGTTGTGTAATTTTAGTAGTTGAACGATTTCTGTTTATTGTAAGTATTTTAATAAGTGAAAAGATTAACTATCTTAATATTCTCTAAAATGAAAAAGAAATTATAAAAGGCAGGGGCGTAGGAACCAGGAGGGGGGGGGGGCACGTGCCCCCCAATTTTTTTCAAAGGACTAAATGTGATGAAAAGTGCCCTTTTTGTACAAGCTAATGTCGCTGTAAATACTAAATTAACATCAAAGGTGCCCTTTTTGTTTGGAAATTTCCAAGTTTTTAAAAAAAAAATGGTAAAAAACGTGCAGGGCCGCCGAGAGGTTGGCGGGGGCCCGGGGCAAATTTTTTTTTAGGGGCCCCTATCTAAAATTTTTTTTCCGGAGAACAACCTCCCCCCTCCCCGTCGCCAAAAAATTTTCGGTCAGTGTACCATTTTAGGGGTCAAGAATTTTTTCCGGAGTACAAAATTTTTCCGGACGAGGACGTTGCAATTGCTTTCGAGGGACTTTATCTCATTTTTTAGGCCAAAATTCGGTACTTAACCCAAGAAAACAGATCTCTTGTCCTTTGCGCGGAAATATTTAACACACAAAAAAGGCTGGGGCCCAACAAAAATTTTTCAGGGGCCCCCAGCAACTCGGGGCCCGGGGCAATTTGCCCCCCCCCCTCTCTGCGGCCCTGAAAACGTGCAATTTCGGTATGGTACGACAGGAAAATTTTTCTTCTCCCCCCCCCGTCGCCAACATTTCCGGGAAAAAAGTTTTAGGTGCCCTTTTCAATACCCTAAAGTGCCCCTAGAAGCCGGTGCCCACCACCAATCTTTTGATGCTTCCTATGCCCCAGATTAAAAGGCATCAACTATTTCGCTAACCTCAGAATGACATTTCGTCAAAACTTTTTTCTTGAAGATTGGTTTAGAAATGAATTTGTAGTAGGGTTAGGTTAGGGTTAGGGTAAGGATTAGGGTCAGAGTTGGTGTTTGGAGTAGAGTTAGTGTTAGTAAAACCGTTGCTTTGTTACGTTTTGTCAGTTTGAGGCGCCAGCGAAATAATCTCTTCTCTGATAAAAGGGGTAAAATGTATCGATATAAAAAGTGTATTTTTCAAAAAGAATTTGCAAAAAGGGACTGGTACTACCTACAAAGCATGGCTTCGACGCCCGGAGGGCGGAGTGTTTTCACACAATTTCGAGTTTCCCATCAATACGGAAAAAATGTTTTATATTTGTTTTATGGGCTGTTTACATGAGCCCGGTTTGCTGGGCTGGCACGCTTAAACGGAGCGCCCGTCTCCATAGTAATTTCCAACACAAAACAATTTTACTTTTAATAATACATGACAACCGGGCCAGCCCGTTGCCCGGTTTGCTGAGCTAGCCCGCTTAAACGGGGCGCCCGGCTCAGGGCCGTAGCGAGGGGGGTATTGGGGGGTGGCTAACCCCCCCCCCCCCAACTTTTGTAGAATTAACATATTCGGAAAATCGAGTTGGCCATTCGGAAAATTACGGCAATAATAGTATAACAAAATTTTAGTTGTTTAAATAGAGAAAATATTATAAAATGGTATTGTCAGTATGAACCATTGGTATAAACTGATTTACGAAATCACGGCATTTACATGGATAACGTAAAACAAATCGTAAATCGGTAAATGTTTTTCGGTTTATTACTTCTCAGGGCCGTAGCTGTCGGGGGGAGGGGACGGGGGCCAGCGGCCATTACAATAATTTGCTGATAATCATTCTTTTTTCAAAATCATGCACACCTTTATCATTTAAATAATATACCTTTAAAATACTGACAATAGGCTAGAGGTGTACATTGGATCGGATTGGACGTTTATAATCCGACAATTGCCTAATGTTTAAAATCCGATACGAAATTGTCTAATCCGAATCCGATCCGAGTTTTGAAAACGAATTCCAATCCGATCTGATCCGACGAGTTCTTTAATAAAATAAATTTCTCATTCAAGTTGAAATATTTAACCAAATACATATAAAAGCAAGAAATACATGTCAAGAAGCTGACAAAGTGACGTCCAATTGAAGTATCAAACGAATAATGCAGCGAAAACCGCGATGATACTTTGATAAATGTATGGATAATTAATTCTTGCGATAATGTATGGATAATTAATTCATTTCATTTTCGATATTACCCTGGATTCCAGAGCCTTCGACAGTAAATAATAAATTGAAATGTCGCGAAGGCTCTGGTTCAACGGGGCGATTCTTTGATTAAACCGCGCCAATCACAAAACAGAATTAGTGGTTTTAGTACAGTAATTTTTGTGATTGGCGCGGCTTAATCAAAGAATCGCCCCGTTGAACCAGAGCCTTCGCGACATTTCAATTTGTTATTTACTGTCGAAGGCTCTGGAATCCAGGGTATTTCGATATCGAAGTCCGATCCGACTACGAAGCAACTTTATCAATCCGATCCGAAATTTACATTTTGGTTCCGAAATCCGAACGAATCCGATCGGATTCGGATCGGATTTGCACACCTCTACAATAGACCTTAATTTCCCCATTTGAGTGAAATTTTGATCTAGACAAGCCTGGACAAAAATATCACCACAGCTTGAAAGAGCATCACAAAATTAGTAATATTCCGAAGTTTCGTTGAATGTTGTAAAATGGGGATAATATAGCCTTGCGAAGTTTGCCGTTTTTCAGTCATTTTGCATTACAAACGGGAAATTGATAATCTGATGATCAAACTGATTATCAATTTCCCATTTGTAATACAATAACTGAAAAACGGCAAAGTTCACAAGGGTATATTATCCGCATTTTACAACATTTCGCAACGAAACTTCGGAATATTACTAATTTTGTGATGCTCTTTCAAGCTGTCATGAAATTTTTGTTTAGGCTTGTCTAGATCAAAATTTCAGTCATAAGGGGAAAGGTCTATTGCGGATTAATTTTAAGCGGCTACATTATCCATGACAAACCGCAAAGAATCATATTACCTATACTCTTTCCTGCAATCGAATCGACTTGACCACGTAGCTCAGTTGGCAGAACATTGGACTAGTATCCCAAAGGTCGCGGGTTCGACTTCCACCGTGGCCAAGCAAACTTTTCAGCTTGCCCGCTGTGGATGCATACTCAGAGTAACGTCACAAATATCATACTAAAACTCCGTTTTCTGACCATCAGGATTCTGTCACAACTTCCCCCAAAGTCCAGGAAATGGCATTTCAGAGAATCTAAATTTAAAAATTTCCTCGGGCCTTCGGTCGTCGTTCCCAGCCCCCAATAAAAAAGAGCTTCCTACCGCACTGCATGCTTCTGTAATATGTCTTTGTGTAAACTATGTGTATTCAGTTTTGTTTGTAAATTGCATCTTCATTTTCCGTATAGCAAACACCTTCGTGGCTTCGTATGCCATGAAATATTCGGAAATTTTCTTCGTCATTCGGAAATTTTTGGCCTACACACCCCTAGGGCCT